GATGTGGGCCAACTCGTAGTCTGGACGCCGAGAGAGGGCGTCCGAAGCACGTTGAGCTTGCCCGGCTTGTATTCGACGCGGAAGTTGTACTCCGCGAAGTAGGACAGCCACGTCCCCATCTTTTGGGAGAGGTGAGGCGAGTTAGTCGCCGTCCTCAAGGACGTGTGGTCTGTGTAGATCACAAAGGGCCGGGAGCCCAGAAGGTGAACACGAAACTTCACAAGGGCATATTTCATTGCCAGGAGCTCCTTGTCGTGGACAGGGTAGTTCTGTTCGGCGGATTTGAGCTGCCAAGACTGGAGCGATATGACGCGTTCATGTCCAGCCGTGTCGGCCTGCAGCAGTGCACAACCGATGGCACAGTCGGAGGCATCGCAGACGACGCTAAACGGCTTCGTCTCGTCTGGCAGGGTCAGGACAGGGGCCTCTTGGAGACTGGCCTTGATTCTGTCAAAGGCATCCTGGTGCTCCTGCTCCCAGCGTCAGTCGACGCCCTTCTTAAGGAGGCCCGACAAGGGCTCAGCGAAGCCCGCGTACCCTGCACTGTACTTGTGAAGGTAGTTGGCCAAGCCCAACCACTTTCGAAGATCCTTCTGGGATCGGGGCGTTGGCCATGCTGCTATGGCCTTGACCTTGTCTGGGTCAGCCCGAACGCCCACGTTGCTTACGAAGCAACCGAGAACCTTAATCTCTGGAGACGCGAAGACGCACTTGTCGATGTTGGCGTAGAACTTGTTCGCTCGCATTACGTCCAGCACTCGACGGGGGTACCCCAGATGCACCTCCATGGCCGTCTTGCCTTCCTCGGCACGGCTATGGACGTATATGTCGTCGAAGTACGTCTGTACGAAGGTACGCAAAGGGCGGAACAATTGCGTCACCAGGTGGTTGAACGTCACCGGGGCGTTAGACAAGCCCTGCGGCATGACGAGCCACTCCCAAAGCATGCCGCTTGGAGTGCTCACCGCGGTGAGCGGGATGTCACTCTCTCGCATCAGGATCTGGTAGTATCCGTCTACCAAATCCAGCGCACTGAAAAGTACGCTACCGGCCATGTTGTTCAACAGCACATCCTTTCGCGGGATTGGTGTTTGGACCGGCACCGTCGCGTTGTTCAGCTTGTTATAAGCATGAACTAGATGCCACTTTCCGTTCGGCTTCCGAACGCAGAAAGTTGGCGTCGAGGGCGGGGACTTCAACTCCCGCACCATGCCTGCCTTCGCTTTCGCAGCGAAGAAGGCATCAATGACCTCGCACTGTTCGCGTGGAAGAGGCCATTGTCTCGTGACACAGTACTTTGTGCCACGCAAGAAAAAAGAAATTATTTCGTCTCAGTCGCAAACCCTCGATTTGGGTGAAAAACTTGGGTTGCGTGGGTGGTTTGTTTTCACCCCGCTCCGCATAATTCCGTCACCCAAGGGATACACCGATCCTTGGGGTTATTAAGGATCTAGGAACCCAAGCGCGTCTGACGCTGCTTGTTTAGGTCCTCCAGGACGTCCTCGTTTAAGACAGAGGAGGCGTTCAGCTCCTCCCGAGTGGTCTCAGGTCTTATGAGCACCATCTCGGCAACCTTTTCCAGCCTTGAGGTTGGCCAGGAAAGCCTCGACCATCATTTCCTCAAGGTTCAGTATCTCGGCAACCTCTGGCAACGGTTCCAAATGGACACCAGATGCCTTGACGGGTAAACCGGTCCCGCCATCGAAGATGTGATAACACACTTCCACCGGCCGTGTCGGAGGAGCCCGGGCCCTGGACTTCGAGTCGCTTGAAGCGACGTCGATCTGAACGAGGATCAGATCCGACGCTCGGCGGAGGCGTCGTCGTTGTAAAGGAAACAGCGTTTTCCAACACGCAGCCGTGAACCGCGGGTCTCGGTTCGAGACAATCGTCTCCGGGAGACCGTGATAGCGGAGCACGCCATCGACGAAAAACCTTGCGGTTTGTTCGCCCGTAACAGTGACGGGGACCGGAACAAGATGTCCCATCTTGCTCAGCCGACACACGAACACAAAAATTCTGGTGTTTCCGTGTCCGTCGGTGGGAAGCCCAAAGATGAAGTCAAGACTCATCAACTTCCAACAGTCAGCCGGTACGGGCAGGCTCTGTAGTGGAGCCGAAGCGTGCCTTGCGGGTTAAACCCGCTGACATGTTTCATATATCTTCATGTATGGGCGACCCACTTGTACATGTGGGTCCACCAGAAGGCCTGAGATACCGACAGAAAGGTCTTCTCGCGGCCCAAGTGGCCGCTGGAGGGCGCGTCGTGCGCCTCCGCGAGAATGTCGAACTTCAGATCCTTGTCGTTGGGTACGACCACCCGTGGAGGTTCATTGGGCCCCACCCGGTAATAGAGGAGGCCATCCTTCAACTCATATCGGTGGAGCCGTGAGCGCTGTCGCGACGAGAGCCAGTCGGACTTCGCGCTCGTTCCTGCCGTGAAGAACTTGACGATAGGCGCGACAGCCTCATCGTACCGATACGCCATGCGTATCCGATCATATAGATCCGTTGTCACCCGTGTGATGTGGGCCAATTCGTAGTCTGGACGCCGAGAGAGGGCGTCCGCAAGCACGTTGAGCTTGCCCGGCTTGTATTCGACGCGAGAGTTGTACTCCGCGAAGTAGGACAGCCACGTCCCCATCTTTTGGGAGAGGTGAGGCGAGTTAGTCGCCGTCCTCAAGGACGTGTGGTCTGTGTAGATCACAAAGGGCCGGGAGCCCAGAAAGTGAACACGAAACTTCACAAGGGCATATTTCATTGCCAGGAGCTCCTTGTCGTGGACAGGGTAGCTCCGTTCGGCGGCTTTGAGCTGCCAAGACTGGAGCGATATGACGCGTTCATGTCCAGCCGTGTCGGCCTGCAGCAGTGCACAACCGATGACACAGTCGGAGGCATCGCAGACGACGCTAAACGGCTTCGTCTCGTCTGGCAGGGTCAGGACAGGGGCCTCTTGGAGACTGGCCTTGATTCTGTCAAAGGCATCCTGGTGCTCCTGCTCCCAGCGTCAGTCGACGCCCTTCTTAAGGAGGCCCGACAAGGGCTCAGCGAAGCCCGCGTACCCTGCACTGTACTTGTGAAGGTAGTTGGCCAAGCCCAACCACTTTCGAAGATCCTTCTGGGATCGGGGCGTTGGCCATGCTGCTATGGCCTTGACCTTGTCTGGGTCAGCCCGAACGCCCACGTTGCTTACGAAGCAACCGAGAACCTTAATCTCTGGTGACGCGAAGACGCACTTGTCGATGTTGGCGTAGAACTTGTTCGCTCGCATTACGTCCAGCACTCGACGGGGGTACCCCAGATGCACCTCCATGGCCGTCTTGCCTTCCTCGGCACGGCTATGGACGAATATGTCGTCGAAGTACGTCTGTACGAAGGTACGCAAAGGGCGGAACAATTGCGTCACCAGGTGGTTGAACGTCACCGGGGCGTTAGACAAGCCCTGCGGCATGACGAGCCACTCCCAAAGCATGCCGCTTGGAGTGCTCACCGCGGTGAGCGGGATGTCACTCTCTCGCATCAGGATCTGGTAGTATCCGTCTACCAAATCCAGCGCACTGAAAAGTACGCTACCGGCCATGTTGTTCAACAACACATCCTTTCGCGGGATTGGTGTTTGGACCGGCACCGTCGCGTTGTTCAGCTTGTTATAAGCATGAACTAGATGCCACTTTCCGTTCGGCTTCCGAACGCAGAAAGTTGGCGTCGAGGGCGGGGACTTCGACTCCCGCACCATGCCTGCCTTCGCTTTCGCAGCGAAGAAGGCATCAATGACCTCGCACTGTTCGCGCGGAAGAGGCCATTGTCTCGTGACACAGTACTTTGTGCCAGGCACGAGATCGATCTCATGCCGTACGCCTCGATCTGGTGGGAGCTGGGTCGGTGGGTGTTTGTTCACCCCGTCCGCATACTCCGTCACCAAAGGACACACCGGATCCTTGGGGTTATTAAGGATCTCGGAACCCAAGCGCGTCTGATGCTGCTTGTTTAGGTCCTCCAGGACGTCCTCGTTTAAGACAGAGGAGGCGTTCAGCTCCTCCCGAGTGGTCTCAGGTCTTATGAGCACCATCTCGGCAACCTTTTCCAGCCTTGAGGTTGGCCAGGAAAGCCTCGACCATCATTTCCTCAAGGTTCAGTATCTCGGCAGCCTCTGGCAACGGTTCCAAATGGACACCAGATGCCTTGACGGGTAAACCGGTCCCGCCATCGAAGATGTGATAACACACTTCCACCGGCCGTGTCGGAGGAGCCCGGGCCCTGGACTTCGAGTCGCTTGAAGCGACGTCGATCTGAACGAGGATCAGATCCGACGCTCGGCGGAGGCGTCGTCGTTGTAAAGGAAACAGCGTTTTCCAAAACGCAGCCGTGAACCGCGGGTCTCGGTCCGGGACAATCGTCTCGGGAGACCGTGATAGCGGAGCACGCCATCGACGAAAAACCTTGCGGTTTGTTCGCCCGTAACAGTGACGGGGACCGGAACAAGATGTCCCATCTTGCTCAGCCGACACACGAACACAAAAATTCTGGTGTTTCCGTGTCCGTCGGTGGGAAGCCCAAAGATGAAGTCAAGACTCATCAACTTCCAACAGTCAGCCGGTACGAGCAGGCTCTGTAGTGGAGCCGAAGCGTGCCTTGCGGGTTAAACCCGCTGACATGTTTCATATGTCTTCATGTATGGGCGACCCACTTGTACATGTGGGTCCACCAGAAGGCCTGAGATACCGACAGAAACGTCTTCTCGCGGCCCAAGTGGCCGCTGGAGGGCGCGTCGTGCGCCTCCACGAGGATGTCGAACTTCAGATCCTTGTCGTTGGGTACGACCACCCGTGGAGGTTCATTGG